CGACAAATGGGAGAGGTGGGGAAGAATATCGACGAACACGACGAAGACGGGGACTGAGAACAGGGAAGAAGGGGCAAATGAGATGGGCCACGACGAGGGCGAGGAGGAAACGCGGGAAGACATGAAGTGGGGAAAGAAGAAATGTGCGCGGTGAGCGAATTCCGCCACATCGTTCATGCAGGAACGCGTATAGATGGCCGCATCACTTCTGCATGGCCAGCGCGCCCCAGTCTGGGCGTTGATTCCACACTGGGATGATGCCAGCTCCTCTAGCGTTTCTATCGCTGCGTCACTGGCCGCGCAGGAACCAACCTAACAGGGCCCCCAGACGGCCCAGGATGACCCCGAGATCCCCAGGCTGGCCCAAGAGGGCCTCTGTAGAGACCCAAGACGGCCTCAGAGGGCCCTTCGACAGTCCAACACGACCCCAAGACGGTGCCGAGAAACCTGCTAGACGGTCAAGATATGGCACCAAGACAGCCAGGAGAGGCTCAAGACGGCCCAAATAGGGCCCCAAGAAGCCCTGAGAGGGCACCCAAGTCTGCGCCACGGGAGCCAAAGACAGCCCTAAGGCTACCCGAATGAGCTCCAAGAAAGCTCTCAGGAAGTGAAGACAAGAGGTGCCCCATGGGACGGTTGTAGGTGCTCGAAGCTCTGCCACCCAACAGGCTGAGCTGGCACGGTGGCGGGACTTGCCGCGGGCACCTGAATGATAGAAGCCCAGTTCGGGCACAACGGCACAACGGGCAGTTCTGCTGCCGACGTCCCCATGCCCTGTGCGCCATAACCGTTCTGGAGCCTCTTGGGCAGCCGTGGGTCGTTTGCACCGTCGTGGGTCTTCTGCACCGTCGCTGCAACCTGCGGCGATCTTTCGGGCGTTTGGCGGGACGCCTGGAGGCCTTTTCGGAGCCGGTTGGGAGAGCACATCGTGGGCCGCCTTGGGCCGCTTGGCACGTCTTAGGGCCGCCGGGGGGCTCTCTTGGGCCGTCGCTTGGCCCCGTCCTAGGCTGTCTCCAGAATGTGTTGGGCCGTACTGCACCCCTCTGGAAACCATCTTGGGGCCGTATTCGAATGATCTTGGGCCGTCTTGAAGCCACCTGAAGCGCTCCCGAAGCCACACAAGGCAGAACGAACCTGGCGCTGTTGTTGTTGGTTTAGGGTGTTTGGCTTTCTGGAGCCAATGTTGGAGCGTTGAGCCTCTCGTGGGGCCGCCTCTAGGCCTCGTGGCGCCTCTTGGTACCCCGTGGAGTATCTTCGAAGCCGCTTGGGCCGTCGTGAGAGCCACATGGGGACATTTTAGTCATAGAGGTACCATTGAAGGGGCCCTGGGACACACAACTAAATGGACACAAATAACAGGACTCCCCATATTTTCCCATATCTTCAGGGTCTCTGCCTTCCCCCCCACTCCCCATCTGTTCCCATACTTTCCTGGGGAATCGGAAGATTCCTTGTGTCCGTGTGTGTGTGTGTGTGTTTTCCCTCCTGTACCATCCTGGAGCCGTCGTGGACGCCTCCCGGGGCCCCAAAGGGCCCCTGCGGGCACGCTCCAGAAACACTCCACCCATTCTAGAGGCCTCCTAGATGGGGTCGGAGTAGATGGGGTCGGAGGATGGCACCGCATCACCGATACATCGGCGATGCATCGGCGATGCATTGGTGATGCACCAGCGATACATCATCGACGTGGGCGATGCATCGGCGACGCCGGCGTGGAGAAAATCGGGCTCCGCATCGAGCCGCACCGTCGATGCATCAGCGATGCGGCGCGATCCTCCGACCCCATCTACTCCGACCCCATCCGGGAGGCCTAGACATTCGGCAACCCGCCCGCCCAGGCTGCCGCGCCCGGGCGACGACCGCTTTCGCGCTGCCCGTCGTGCGCGGGAAGACCGAGCTGCTCGGAGACCCGCCTGCCCGAATCCTTGAATCCCTCCTCCTCGTCCTCCTCCTCCTCCTCCTTCTCCCCCTCCTTCTCCCCCTCCTCCTCCTCCTCCTCCTCCTCCTCCTCCTCCCCCTCCTCCTCCTCCCCCTCCTCCTCCGAGTGAGGATCGCTTCGCGCTTCCCGTCAAACGATGGGCCCGCGCCCCACAGTGCACATGGGGTGCCCGCTCCCAAAAGCCTGCACTGCCAGGGCCGAGGCGAAGCGCCAGTGAGAGCGGCAGCGGGCACCTCCGGGCTCGATTCTGCAGAACGTGCACGCCCTCCGCGCTCCCAAGGCCAGAGCCCATGACAAATGCGGATCCGCACCCGCACGCCCGCGATGCCCCCCAAAAGTTTTTGGGACCCGTGCCCGCGGGGCCACGATCCCTTTCCCAAACACCGCCGCTCCTAGGCGCAGTCTCTGGCCATAGCGTGGCGGAGGGGCCACACGAGGCTGGACCTAAACGCTGTTTTTCGTTTTGTGTTCGTTTTGTTGTTCGTTTTGCTCTACCTTTTCTCCCGTACCTCCATCCCACAGCGAAAAACAAGACACAGCCGAAGTCCAGCAAAACAGCGTTCAATTCCAGCCCTGGGGCCACACGCGTGGATTCGCAGGACGGAAGGACGAGAGACACGCATTGAAATCGGAAGAGGCGCCATGAAATCTGGGGAGATACCATGGCCCCCGCCATGAGATCCACCCCCCCTAGTCATCACCCCCCTCTGTGCCGCCCCCGGCCTCCGCGAGGAGCCGCGGAGGGGCGCCCTGGGGCGGGCCGGAGGAGGAGGGGAGGACCTGGGCGGCAGGCCCGGGACGGTGACGTAGCGGGCGGCAAAAGGTGCGAGCTGAGCTTGTCGGCCGTCGTGGACGCCTGCCCTTTTGGTAGGTGGATCTCTCAAGCTCTCCGCCGCCTCTGGCGGTGTGCGTTGCGGGCAGGAACACGGCAAAGCCACAGGAGAGCGCGGCATTGACAGTGTAGATCCGCACACGTGACAGATGTGAACGAGCAGGAACACAGCAAAGCCCCAGGAGAGCGAGGCATTGACAGTGTAGCTCAACGGGCGGCTGGAGAGTTTATGCCCCTGCGCCCTACAGTGGCACGTCGGGGTAGACACTTCCCAGCCGCCACAACAGGACAGGCGCCCCCCACGCCCGGGAAGGAAATCCGCCGACCCAGTCGGCGTGTGTAGGAAGCTCTTCAACGCGAAACCAGCCCAACCCGAATTGAAGTACCCAGCCTCCTTTGAATCGCCGTCGTCGTAAGAGATATCGAACAAGGGATATATCGAAAAGAAACCTCTTCCCTTTGTGTGTCCCCCGCCGGGGAGGAAGGCGGTCCCGGGCGGGGTCCCAGGGGTGGTCTCGGGGGGGGTCCTGGGCCTCCCCCCAGGTGTCGTCACGTACCGCGCCAGCGGCGTCCGGGAATGCCAAGGAATGATCGCAGCGCATGTGTACACCACAGTGCTTGCGTGCACCACGGCGCCTGTGTACACCACAGCGAATGTGTACACCGCAGCAGCCGTCTGCAACACAGCGCCTGTGTACACCTCGATACTTGCGTGCACCGCAACGCCTGTGCATATCACAGCGCCTGTGTATACCACAGCATCCGTGCGCAACACAGCGCCGGTGTGCACCACAGTGGCTGCGTGCACAGGACAGGTAGAAGAAACATGTAGGTGAGGATATGCTGCGGACAGCTAAACACCAAGCAAGGGGAATGCTGATATTAGACTGCGATTTGATTCCTTCCTCCCTCCTCCTCCTCCTCCTCCCTACACCTCTATATTTACAACAATCGTGTTCTGTTGCACACAGTTGCTGTGGTGCACACAGGCGCCGTGGTGCACACAGGCGCTATGATGCACGCAGGCACGGTGGTGTACACTGGTGCTGCCAGGCGCTGTGGTGCACACAAGCGGCTGTGGTGCGCACAGACACTGCGGTGCACACTGGCGCTGTGTTGCAGGCGGCTGCTGTGGCGTACAGCTCGTTGTGGTGTGTACAGGCGCTGTGGTACACGCAGGCACTGTGGTGTACACAGACGCCGTGGCGCCGATCGCTACCTGCTTGGATGGGAACAGATCGGGGGTTGCTAGAGATGCCCCTGGCACGAGTTGCCCCCAGCTTTCGCTCAGTTTTGGAGCCCCTGGGGCCCTCTGGGCCTCGTGAGGGGTGCTCTCAGGGGCACTTCTAGCAACACCCGAATAAAAGTCGGGAAGACGACAGCAAGGGCTGGAGTCGGAGAGACGGGAGCGGCGGTCGGGTGGGAGCTGGAGCTGGAGAGGTAGGAACCAGAGGCAGGGGCACCAGGGCTTGAGTTGGAGAGGCATGAGCCCAAACTTGAACAGAGGGAGCTGGAGTCGGAAAGACGGGAGCCGGAATCGGAGGCACGAGCACGAGTGCTTTTGTTGGAGAGACATGAGCCCGAGTCGGAACGATGGGACCCGGAGTCCGGAAGGTGGGATGGGGGCACGAAGCATAGAGATAGGTGCAGAAGTCGTGAAGGTAACAGAATGTGGTGGAATCGTCCCTGAAACGGCCGGGGTCGGAGAGATCAGAGCTGGAGTCGGAGAGATGGGGATGGAGGAGCCAGAGGTGGACAGACGAACACGGGTGCCTGCGCCGGATGAGCTCGGGGCTGGAGTCGGAGGAGAATGACAGCTGGAGGCAGAGTCGAAGAGGAACCCGAGTCGGAGTCGGGGGAGAAGGAGGTAGTGGAGGAGGAGGAGGAGGAGGAGGAGGAGGAGGAGGAGGAGGAGGAGGAGGAGGAGAGAGGAGGAGGAGGAGGAGGAGGAGGAGGAGGAGGAGGAGGAGGAGGAGGAGGAGGAGGAGGAGGAGGAGGAGGAGGAGGAGGAGGAGGAGGAGGAGGAGGAGGAGAGAGGAGGAGGAGGAGGAGGAGGAGAGAGGAGGAGGAGGAGGGAGAGCGGAGGAGGAGCTCGTCTGCGCACCTCGGCACCTCGGCACGAGGGATCCCGCGGCTGCACCCACGGGGAGCACCGAGTCGCAGCCCGGGGAAGGGGAAGTCGTTCGTCCAGCTGCTCTTGCTGCGCCGCTTCTGCGCGAGGATCGCCTCTCAGGTGTGGTGATTATGTTCTGGATTCTCGCGCAGTCTGCTCTCGATGACCTTCACGCGAGCGTTGACCTCGTGGACCAGCCTCACCATGGCCATGGGCGAGGCCTCACTCTTCATGCGCGACGTGCCCTCGACGAGCTCCTGTGCAGTGAGTGTCCCACTCCCGTCGTCCAGCGCAGCGAACAGTATCCCTGGATCCCTTAGATCGAAGTCTTGAGCTTTGAGCCAAGCCTTCACCCACGGGTCCTCGCACAGGGCCAGCCACTCGCCGCGGTCGAGCCTGCCGTCCCTGTCTGTGTCCGCCGTGACGAAGAGGCGCCTCATCTTCGTGACGTGCGCCCTCTCCTTACGGGCTGTCTGCCTCACCATGATCGCGTCGTCCATCGTGGCCACCTTGAATGTCTCTTGGATGATCGGGCCAAGCGAAAAGGGGGGATAAGAAAGGGGGGATTTGAGAATCAGCTCACGTAGCTGATTTTCCCGGCGCCTCCCGGCGCCGGAGGCGCCCATGCATCGAGGAATGGGCCAGGCGCCAGGGCCGAAACCAGCTGCATGCAGCAGATTTGGTACCCCCCCCTTTCCCTAACCCCCCCTTTTGTTCGGCCCGAGATGAACACTCCGTTCACAACCCCTATGACTCGCCGGCCCGACGGGCCGCAAGCGTGTTAGATCCCTCGAGGAGGTAACTCAGGCCAGAGCGTTTAAAGATCTACTCCTCGCGCGCGAGAGCAGCCCTGGGGGGTCTGCGGATCTAACTGGGGCCGAAGAGCAGGCGACAGCGGGCGAAAGCGTCCCAATGGCGCCCAAGAGCGCCCAACAACGCAGGTCAAGGGGTGTCAGGCCTCGAGAATGGCCCCATGATGGCCACAGGATGACCTCAAGATGGCGTCAATGTTACCTCCGGGTGGCCCAGGGCGGCCCCAGCGAACCGAGCGGATGTCAACGACGGCCAAGACATGGCTGAATGACCCCTCCGCGGAGGCTTCCGAGATGGTCAGAGTCATCGAGCGAGCACATGTGAGCGACGCTCAAAAGCGGGTCTTACGCGAGATGCCGTAGCGACCATACGCGGCGGCGTACGCGGGCCGCCAGCGCGGCACGCCACATTGGAGGCGAGGTCGCTCACGCGCGCCCTCTACGCGGGCAGCTTACGCGAAAATGTCGGCGCAAACGACCCCGATGTTTTGCGTCGCTCATGTGTCTATTGTGCTCGGTGATCTACTCTCTGCGGGATCAGATGGGCTTCTCGGGCCCCCGCGGCGTGCCGAAGAGGGCCCCAAGAGCACTAGGAGGGTCAGGAGTTTCCACAGGAGAGCCCCAAGATGGCCATAATGGAGCCCCAAGAGAGCCCAGCGGTCCGAGAGCGCGGGTCAATCGGCGCCATGCCTGGAGGGCCCCATGATTGCCCCAAGATGGTGCCAACGTGGCCCAAGATGGTCCAAGACAACACAATGCACTTCAGACGTGGCCCTAGATGGCCGAAGATGCCTCCCTTGGAGGCCGAGGCCATACTCGGTAAAAACTCGTGTGTGCGTGTGCGTGTGCGTGTGATTGTGCGTGTGCGTGTGATTGTGCGTGTGCGTGTGCGTGTGCGTGTGCGTGTGCTTGTGCGTGTGCGTGTGCGAATGCGAGTGCGAGAGCGAAGGCGAGTGCGAATGCGAGTGCGAGTGCGTGTGCGTGTGCGTGTGCGTGTGCGTGTGCGTGTGCGTGTGCGTGTGCGAGTACGTGTGCGTGTGCGCGTGCGTGTGCGTGTGCGAGTGCGTGTGCGCGTGCGGGTGCGAGTGCGTGTTAGTGTGCGTGTGCGTGTGCGAGTGCGTGTGCGTGTGCGTGGGCGTGTGCGTGTGCGTGTGCCTGTGCGCGGGTGCGTGCACGCGTGCGCGGGTGTGCGACAGCGCGGGTGCGCGGGTGCGCGGGTGCGTGCACGGGTGCGCGGGTGCGCGGGTGCGCGGGTGCGCGGGTGCGCGGGTGAGCGGGTGCGCGGGTGCGCGGGTGCACGGGTGCGCGGGTGCGCGGCTATGCAAGTGCCCGTGTGTGCGTGCGTGCGTGTGTGTGCGCGTGTGCGCATGTGCGTGTGTGTGTGTGCGTGTGTGCGTATGTGCGTGTGTGCGTGTGAGCGTGTGTGCGTGTGTGCGTGTGTACATGTGAGCGTGTGTGTGTGTGTGCGTGTGTGCGTGTGTGCGTGTGCGCGTGTGCGCGTGTGCGCGTGTGCGCGTGTCGGCGTGTGCGGCGTGTGCGGCGTGTGCGGCGTGTGCGGCGTGTGCGGCGAATGCGCGTGTGCGCGTGTGCGCGTGTGCGCGTGTACGCGTGTGCGCGTGTACGCGTGTGCGCGTGTGCGCGTGTGCGCGTGTGCGCGTGTGCGCGTGTGCGCGTGTGCCCGTGAGCGCGTGTGCGCGTGAGCGCGTGTGCGCGTGTGTGCGTGTGTGCGTGTGTATGTGTGTGCGTGTATGAGTGTGTGGTGTGTGGTGTGTGTGTTGTGTGATGTGTTGTGTGTTGTGTGTTGTGTGTGGTATGTGTTGTGTGTTGTGTTGTGTGGTGTGTTGTGTTGTGTGTTGTGTGGTGTGTGCTGTGTGGTGTGTGTTGTGTGCTGTGTGGTGTGTGTGGAGTGGTATGTGTTGTGTGGTGTGTGGTGTGTTGTGTGGTGTTTGTTGTGTGTTGTGTGCTGTGTGCTGTGTGCTGTGTGATGTGTATTGCGTGGTGTGTGGTGTGTGGTGTGTGGTGTGCGTTGTGTGTTGTGTGCTGTGTGGTGTGTGTTGTGTGCTGTGTGCTGTGTGCTGTGTGATGTGTATTGCGTGGTGTGTGCTGCGTGGTGTGTGGTGGGTGTTATGTGTTGTGTTGTGTGGTGTGTGTTGTGTGTGGTGTGTGTGGTGTGTGTTGTGTGTTGGTGGTGTGTGCGTTGTGTGCGTTGTGTGCGTTGTGTGTTGTGTGTTGTGTGTTGTGTGTTGGGTGGTGTGTGTTGTCTGTTACGTGCTGTGTGTTGTGCGGTGTGGATTGTGTGTTGTGTGTTGCGTGATGGGTGTTGCGTGTTGCGGGTTGGGTGTTATGTGCTGTGTGGAATGGATTGTGTGTTGCGTGGTGTGTGTGGTGTGTTGTGTGGTGTGTGTTGTGTGGTGTGTGTTGTGTGGTGTGTGTTGTGTGTTGTGCATTGTGTGTGGTGTGTTGTCTCTTGTGCGGTGTGTGTTGTGTATTGTGTGTTGTGGTTTGTGTGTTGCGTGTTGTGTGTGTGTTGGGTTGTGTGATGTGTGCTGTGGTGTGCTGGTGTGTGTTGTTGTGAGTTGTTGTGTGGTAGCGTGTGTTGGTGTGTGTTATTGTGTGGTGTTGTGTGTTGATGTGTGGTGTTGTGAGCTGTTGTGTGTGTTGTGTGTTGTGTATGTTGTGTGGTGTGTGTTGTGCGTTGCGTGTGGTGTATGGTGTGTATGCTGCGTGGTGTGTGTGTATTGTGTGTGATGTGGTTGCGTTGTTTGTGGTGATTGAGTTGTGTAGGTTTTGTGTGCCGTGTGCTGTGTGTTGTGTGGTGTGTGGTGTGTGGTGTGTGTCTGTTGTGTGTGTTCTGTGTGTGGTTTGCGTGCTGTGCGTGGTGTGTCTGTTGTGCGGTGTGTGTTGGTGTGTGTGTTGGTGTGGATTATTGTGTGGTGAGGTGTTGCTGTGTGGTGTGTGTGTGTGTCGTGTTCGTTGTTGTGTGGTATTATAGCGTAGTGTGTGTGTGTGTTGTGTGGTGTGTGGTGTGTGGTGTGTGGGTTGTGTGTGTTTTGTGTTGTGTGCTGTGTGTTGTGAGTTCTGTGTGTTGTGTATTGTGTGTTGTGTGCTGTGTGCTGTGTGGTGTGTATTGTGTGTTGTGTTAGGTGTTGTGATATGTGCTGTGTGTTGTGTGCGTTGTGTGTTGTGTATGGTGTGTGCGTTGTGTGCTGTGTGTCGTGTGTGCTGTGTGTTGTGTGTGTTGTTGTGTGTTGTGTGGTTTGTGTGTTGTGTGTGCTGTGTGTGCTGTGTGTGTTGTGTGTTGGACGTGCTATATGTATTGTGTATTGTGTGTTGTGTGCTGTGTGTTGTGTGTTGTGTGTTGTGTGTGTGTTGTGTGTTGTGTGGTGTGTGTTGTGTGTTGTGAACTGTGTGTGGTGTGGTGTGTGTATGTTCTGTGTTGTGTGTTGTGTGTTGTGTGTTGTGTGTTGTGTGTGTTGTGTGTGTGTTGTGTTGGACGTGCTATATGTATTGTGTATTGTGTGCTGTGTGCTGTGTGCTGTGTGTTGTGTGTTGTGTGTGCGTCATGTGTTGTGTGTTGTGTGTTGTGTGTATGTGTGCTGTCTGTTGCGTGTTGTGTGTGTCTAGGGTGTCGTGTGTTGTGTGTTGTGTGTGTTGTGTGTATTATGTGTTGTGTGTTGTGTGTTGTGTGTGGTGTGTTGTGTGTTGTGTGTTGCGTGCTATGTTGTGTGTGTCGTGTGCGTAATGTGTGTTGTGTGTTGTGTGTTGTGTGTGATGTGTGTGGTGTGTGTGGTGTGTGTGGTCTATGTGGTGCGTGGTGTGTGTGTGTGTGGTGTGTGTGGTGTGTGTGTGTGGTTTGTGTGGTTTGTGTGGTGTGTGTGGTGTGTGTGTGTGCGGTGTGTTTGGTGTGTGTGTGTGTTGTGTGTGTGGTGTGTGGTGTGTGTGTGTGGGGTGCGTGGGATGTGTGGGGTGGGTGGGGTGTGTGTGGGGGGTGTTTGGGGTGTTTGGGGTGTGTGGCGCGTGTGGGTTGTATGGGGTGTTTGATGTGTGCGTGCGTTTATGATGTGTGTGTTGTTGTGTGTTGCTGTGTTTGGACTCCTGATCTCTGCGGAATCCAGTGGGCCTCTCGGGCCTGGCGGTGGCCTCAAGGTGGCCCTAAGAGAGCCCCAAAGGAACGCTCCGAGCCTCCACCAGAAGGCAGCGAGAGCACCCCGCGAGTGCCCCAAGAGGGCCAAGACCAGCCCGAGCGCGCGGGGCACTCGGCGCCGGACCAGACGGCCCTAGCTGGCCCCAGGACGCCGCAGGATCGTGCCGAGGCGGCCCAAGACTCGTCCGGGACAGCTCCGTGGGCTGCAGAGCACTGGCCCTGATGAGCAAACTGCCTCATGCGGAGGCTCCCACGACAGCCAAAACAACCCAAATCCGCCGACCCTGTCAGCGTGTGTGACGCGTTTTCCGTTTGGGTCGTCGTCGTCGTCGTGGCCGTGGCCGTGGCCGTGGCCGTGGCCGTGGCCGTGGCCGTGGCCGTGGTCGTGGCCGTGGCCGTCGCCGCTCCCCCCTCTTCCCTGGGCCCTCCTCCTCGAGCGATCCAGCCAGACGGCAATCCAACCACGCCGCAGCTGATTCGAAGGAGGGCCCCATTCAGAGAGGCCGCCAAGGCGGCGCCCGATGGCGCCGGACGGGCCAGGAACGCCCGATGGCGGCCAAAGACGACCCAAGAAGCCGCCAAGGGCGCCCGCGAGGCCAGGCCCAAGGAAGGAACGCGAACAGAAAACGTTTTGGCATTCCGCCCTTCAAGAGGTCCCCGGGAGAATTCCTGGCCCAAGAGGCCCCGATGCCCCCAAGAAGCCCCAAGGCAGCCCCTTCCCCTTGCCGTCGCTCGGACGTCCATTTCCTGAGCATTTTTCGGTTTCGTGCGTTTTTTTTGGCTCGATGGTCCAGGAT